TGGTAGGCTTTCTCAGCAGTGATGACAGGGGCATATGTGGCCAGAGGGAAGTGGATGTGGGGATAGGGCACCAGGTTGGTCTGGAATTCAGTCAGATCAACATTCAGGGCTCCATCAAACCTGAGGGATGCAGTGATGGAGGACATGATCTGGCTAATAAGGCAATTAAGATTAGTGTAGGTTGGGCACTCAATATCTAGGTTTCTACGACAGATGTCATAGATAACCTCATTGTCAACCATGAAGGCACAATCAGAGTGCTCCAGGGTGGTGTGGGTGGTGAGGATGGAGTTGTAGGGCTCAACTACAGCTGTGGAGACCTGGGGGGCCGGGTAAATGGAGAACTCCAGCTTGGACTTCTTGCCATAATCGACGGAGAGACGTTCCATCAGCAGGGAGGTGAACCCAGAACCAGTTCCCCCACCAAAGCTGTGGAAAACCAAGAAGCCCTGAAGGCCTGTGCACTGGTCAGCCTGTTAGAAAAGAAAAAGAGCGTTAATTTTAGCCTCAGTGAGCGCTGCGGTGACTTCTTTAAATCTTTAATTACTACATTGATCAAGATTTTAAAAATCTTTTGAATATTTGCTAGGAAAGCAGTTGCAAAAAGCTTCCAAAGTGCTAAGTGATTCAGAGAAACTTTTCACAACCAACTCCTGGGGGAAGGGGACATCTGCTAAAAGGCTATTTTATTTTTTCTAAAAGGCTATTTTAAAATGAAATCTTTTCATCTCCGAAGGCAGAGGAATCATGAGGTCTGGAATGGATGCAGGGCCCAAGTTTCTGTGACTGGAAGGGTGACCTCTGGCGCCCTTGCTGCGACAGCAGAACAAGGGCAACTCTTTTTTGTTTTGTTTTGTACTTTTTCCTATTTATTTTTTTTATAATATAAAGTACAGAAAATGGGTATTTTAAAACTATGTATGAAAAATGTCACGTAAATGACCTCCAGTTTCTGCTTCGCAAGCATGGTGGCTCTATTATATCTGGCTCCAGCACTTGAATTTCTTCCCGAATGAAGGGCAACTCTTATCAGCTGGAGAGCTACCAAGGGCATCCTGGGACCACCAGCTCCGTACAATGGATGTCTGTCTTCCAAAGACCTGGCAGAGGCTTTGGAGCTGGAATACGACAGAACAGCCAAGCTGGATGCCCTGGTATTGGAATCAGGCTGGGTCCGGATCTGGCTCTACCAGGGCCTTGCTGTGTGACTTTGACCAAATTCATTTCTCAATCTCGGTTTTCTCATTTAGTAAATGAGGATAGTAATCTACCGCAGGCTGCTGAGAACTACATGAGTACTTGGAACAGTGCCTGGCACGGTAAGCACTAGTTACCCGGAAGCCCAGCCGTTTTGGGAAAGCTGGTGTACAGCCAGCCAAGCTGTTGGTTAGCCAACTCCCCTCAGTCTTCTGCTGACAACCCTAACTTCTCAAAAGTGCTGAGATTTGTGGACATTCTCTACCAACCCCCCAGAACTCACTTCTCCAGTGGATCCCTACACTGCATGAGATCAATGTACGGGGCAAGCCCAGTTTACCAATTACATCCACTACTTACGCGTATGGACACAGTAGTAACACCGAGGACCAATGCAATGGTTTTGGTAGTTAATGAACATCACTCATAAACCCTCAATGGCTTTTACTAGGTTTATTTGTCCCTAAAGGCGGGTCCCGATTCCCAAGTCAGTGCTTATAGCTAAAGTTTGACTTGCACACATAGGAACCAATACTCCAATTTTGCTGGGGCGACCATGATAAACATCTGGAAAAGTATGAAGGCCATTCTTTTTAGAATAGACCAGTTGTGGCTGGACTTAGTAGCTAACAAGCTAGTCTACCCAAGCGCTCATTCTTGATTTTGGGTTAATTACTCACAAGCTGCCCACAATGTCTAAGGAGCAGAGTCAGCTGACTGCAGGACTCTTAAAATGACCCAGAACAGTTATCAACATCATTGATGTGAATACAATTGCCTAAGATTTTTCTGCCACAGGGCGAGGCCACACCACCCTGGGCTCTATTAGAAAAGCAAACCTACTGCTTTTTGTGTTCCTATCTCAATGCCTTCCTCGTTTCAGTTATGATACTTCCTTCTGTAATAAGGGAGCTCTGCCCTAGCTGGTTTGGCTCAGCAGACAGAGTGTCAGGCTGCAGACTGAAGGTTTCAGGTCCCATTCTGGTCAAGGGCACATGCCTGGGTTGCAGGCTCGATCCCTGGTGGGGGGCATGCAGGAGGCAGCCGATCAATGATTCTCTCTCATCATTGATGTTTCTATCTCTCTCCCCCTCTCTGAAATCAATAAAAAAATATCCTATATAATAAAAGCCTAATAGGCAAATTGTTCCCTTGACTGGGAATTCAACAATGTGCTACAACATGCGCTGACCACCAGGGGCCAGTGCGAAACATGGTGGGTGTCGTAGTGGGCAGCAGCACAGGCACTGCCGGCCCCCATGGGACCACGGCGGGATGGTGGAGCATGTGAGCAGGCGGCACCAGGCCAAGGTAGGTGCAAGTGGGGGGGCGAGGCTGCCACCTGGCTCCCAGACACTGAGGGAGCTGGGCAGGGGCCCAATGACTCAGGCGGAGGGGGCGCGCGCAGGGGCCCCAGGGCCCAGAGATCAGTTGCCCTTCCATTGCCAGCCAGGCCTAGGGACCGCACCAGCGCATGAATTTCATGCACCAGGCCTCTAGTATATATAAAATAAGGGAGCTCCCCCAACTCCACTTTCAGTGTTGTTCAACATTTCCACTGTCGGCCATTTCTAATCCGTGTTATACTGGCTTCTGCAGCCCTGAACTCTTTGTACCAATGTAAGGCACCAGGCCAGATTTTTACTATGAGCTAGCTAGACACTGCGTAAGCAGTTTGTCTTAATGTACATGTAAAGCTAATGATTCTACAAAATATTTAGAACATGCAAAGTTCAGGGTCCTTGAACTTTAGGATTGCTTATTTTCTAGGGGAATGCCTATTGTTCTCACCCATACCCCAAAGAGTAGTCCTGCACCCAGGACTGTCTAGTTTCGAAATAGAATTATTTAGTAAGGCCTGTTTTTTAAAAAAAATAATTTAAGAGTATTTTTTATTGGCCTGAACATCAACCTATGAACCAGGAGGTCACAGTTCAATTCCTGGTCAGGGCACATGCTTGGGTTGTGAGCTCAATCCCCAGTGTGGGGTGTGCAGGAGGCAGCTGGTCAACAATTCTCTCTCATCATTGATGTTTCTGCCTCTCCCTCTCCCTTCCTCTCTGAAATCAAAAAATATTAATATATATTATCTCCTGCAGGTCCCCTACCAGGGATCAAGCCTACACCCCGGCATGTGTCCTGAGTGGGAATGGAGCTAGCAACCTTTTGGTGCACAGGATGATGCTCAACCAGGTGAGCCACACCAGCCAGGGCCTAAGGCCTATTTTAGTGTGCGAGGAATGATTGCTGTGGTTTGGTCTCTCTTTAAAACTCTAAGAGAAAACTCTCACCCCACTTTAAATAAAGTACTGTGTTTACCAGCTTCCGAATTCGGTCCAGGACCAGGTCAATGATCTCCTTGCCAATGGTATAGTGTCCACGGGCATAGTTATTGGCAGCATCTTCCTTGCCTGTGATCAGCTGCTCAGGGTGGAAGAGCTGACGGTAGGTACCAGTGCGAACTTCATCTGCAAAAAGGAAACAAAGCAGCCGCCCATCACTAACCTGCACAGCCTGCTCAACCCCAAGGCCTCAACAGAGCCCCCAGGACACACCTCTTGTCCCAGACCCTGGGATCAACTCACCAATGACTGTGGGTTCCAGGTCTACAAACACTGCCCTGGGCACATGCTTGCCAGCGCCCGTCTCACTGAAGAAGGTGTTGAAGGAGTCATCTCCCCCGCCAATGGTCTTGTCACTTGGCATCTGGCCATCGGGCTGGATGCCGTGTTCCAGGCAGTAGAGCTCCCAGCAGGCATTGCCGATCTGGACCCCGGCTTGGCCAACATGGATGGAGATGCACTCACGCTGTGGCAGGAAGGAAAGGGAAATGTCAGAATAGGACACATCAGTGGGACTTTTAGGAATGATTCACACCGAAACGACTCATTAAACTCTAGGATGGATTAATCACCTTTCGGAAGGCCACTCCCGCCCCAGGACTATTGCACAATCAAGCCTGTGGAAGACTGATTCAGAAAAAATGCTTGGGAGAACCAACGATATGTTAATTAACTATCAGGCAGACTCCAGACCAGACCCTTCCTTTGCAGCCACATTAAAGGTCAGGTTTCTACCCACCCCAGAAAAACAAAGCCGCTGTAGAGCAATCCATTCCCCCAGCTCCTGGAAAATATGCTGGCCGAGCCCTTAAAGGCACACAAAATTCATCTTTCAGCCGTGATTCATTCTGTGAGATTGTGTAACTACTGAGCTCATTCTGGTCCCTCTTTAATCCTATTCTTTAAAAGACAAGAGCTTGCCCTCGCCAGTTTGGCTCAGTGGATAGAGTGTTGGCCTGCAGACTGAAAGGTCCTGGGTTTGATTCCAGTCAAGGGCACATGCCTGGGTTGTGGGCTGGCTCCCAGTGGGGGGCTTGCAGGAGGCGGCCTGTCAATGATTCTCTTTCATCATTGATGTTTCTCTCTCTCCCTTTCCCTTCCTCTCTGAAATCAATAAAAATATTTAAAAAGAAAGAAAGAAAAAATAATAAAAGACAAGCGCTTCTCCCTCCCTTTAAAACCAGTTTAAACCAGCAAACTGCAGCCATATGACTCATGGAGAAAGCACCAGATAAGCAGCGGTCAGCTCTATTTTACAAACTGGTCAGAGGCAGCTTTCTAACTCTGTGAGTTTAATCTTAAGGAACATTTTCCCTTCACTGAGGGAAGGTTGGGTGGGGTGGAGACACATGTAAATAAAAGCCAAGACTTTACTAACAATTTTGGAAATTAGCGGTTTCCTAGTAACATGTACACATATATCTTTGGCAATGTGGGGAAAATCTACAGTTTCTCAAGAGTTTAACAATATTATTGAGAAAATGTTTTCCTTTATTTGCTTAACAAAATAGTGTTACCAAATTCATTCCCGTTTAGTAAAACAAGGCAATGAATATCTATACCCACAGACTTAAGAGGGAAACACACAGAAAAAGGAGTGTTTACTGTATTAGGTTAGTTACTTTGGGGACTGGCAGAGGACTTTCAAAATGGTGACAATAAATACCCCCCATTTCCCTCAAATAAGAGAGTTTTAAGTTTTTAAAGGTCACTAATAGAAAACTGGTTAAAGAAAATTCAACACCAGCTAAGATCTCAAAGAGTCTAGTTTTATAACCTGAGATAATAAAACCCTAATCACTCACAACCTTGAACTGTGGTCCCCTCCTTCCCACCTACACTACACTCCCCATAAAACAATCGTCTCCTGATCACATCAGCAAGCTCAGGGGTCACCTGCACCCACTCGCCCAGCTCCAGGGCTGTGGGAGAAGGGGAGTTGTCTGTTCTAATGAACCCATGACTATTTACCATTGCATCATGTTTACCTTTAACTAGACTTTGGAAATTCCACAGCTCAAGAAAGTTGGAGAGTCAGAGATCTGTTCACAACAGAACCGGAACCAAGGAGATGAAGTATCTCAGAAGATACTCTCAATCTAATGAAACAATTCTATTGCAACCTTTTGGGCCCCCAAACTCTCTTTCATTGTTCAACAGGCGACCTGGATGCCTTGTTTAAATTGTGCCCTCCACTACCCCATGGCCACTAGGGAGATGGACAGACCTACACAGATGATAGAGTCAATTAGTTTAGCTTTAACTGGATAAGTAGCCACTGTCTCTCTTATTTGTTGATTGATTTTATTTTATTTTTTTAAAATATTTTATTGATTTTTTACAGAGACAACGGGAGAGAGATAGAGAGTTAGAAACATCGATGAGAGAGAAACATCAATCAGCTGCCTCCTGCACACCCCCCACTGGGGATGTGCCCGCAACCAGGGTACATGCCCTTGACTGGAATCAAACCCGGGACCTTTCAGTCTGCAGGCCGACGCTCTATCCACTGAGCCAAACCGGTCAGGGCTGTTGATTGATTTTAGAGAGGAAGAGGGGAGAAGGGGGAAGAAACATCGATTTGTTGTTCCACTTATTTATGTATTTGTTGGTTGACCCCCATATGCATTCTGACCTGGGATCGAACTGGCAACCTATATAAAAAACTATTCATCTAACATGTTATTGTTGAAATAGGTCTGCTGCTGCTGCTGCTGCTCTGCTGCCCTTTAAACCATCGATTTTCAACTCTTTTCAGCTCCTGGCATACATAAACTAATTACTAAAATTCTGCAGCATACTGAAAAATATATTTTTTTGAGAATCTAAGGGAAAAGAGGCCAGTGCCCCTAACTAAATTAGTCAGGTATTGCACGTTTTAAAAATTCTTGTGGCACACTGGTTGAAAGTCGCTGCTTTAAACAGTGATTTCTGAAGTACACTTTTACCAGTATTTTGGGGTGTGCTTGATGAAAGCATTCAAGCAAGTTGTTACAGTCAGACATACTTTTGGTAACTGTGGTAATCTCTCAAGAATGTAACTTGCCGGCCATTCTTTTTTAAAGATACTGTTTCTTCTTTTTTAACGATACTGTTTTGAAACATTGGATACATAAATACCGGTTTTTAAAACATGGCTTACTGTAGACCAACAGAGGCTCTCTTAGTTGTTTTCAACACCTCTGGAAGTTACATAGAAAGTACTCAAGCTGTGTGTACAGTTCCATGTTTCTTTAAAACTACAAATACATCGTCAGTACCAGTGACTCTGCGGTTTTACAAGAAAATATCCTTTCATGGGCTTGTTTTTAACAGGCTGGCTTAAGCTATAAACAGCCCTCCGAGCACCAGAAATGCAGGGCCGGACCCGGCGGGGAGGAGCCCGCCCCAGCCTCCAGGTGGACTGGGGCAAT